TTATGAGGCTGTAAATCTTTCTTTACAGGAGTAGAAAGCCTCATCTTTCTCCCACAGAGTGACTGGTAGATTCGAACTGCTGACCTTTTGTTTAGCAGTCCAACTCCTAATCCACTACTCAAACAGGGCTACTTGAGAACTGGTGATACTATTGATTTGTTTCTGAAAGACTTTGGCTCCTCAGGACTTGGAGATTGTTTGTAAGACCTGCATCCAATGCGCTAGTAAAAATGGCCTGCTTCTGAATTAATTAGTGTATTAGTGGGAACAGCCTGGAGATTTTCTCTGAAAACAGCTCTTAGCCCCTCTCTCACTGTAGTACAAAAGGGAAATTCTGAATGGAAACAAATCTCTGAACTAATATAGCACTCTCAACTGATGTAGAATTACCCCCCACCAAGGTGTGGCCGCTGTGAGTCAATGCATCAGACTGCAGTGCAGTTTGAACTGCAAGGTCAGTGCCTCAGCCTCACCAGCTGTTCCTCAGAAACCCTATACAGGGTCAGTATGGGTTGGAATCGACTTGACGGCACATAACAACAACAACAAAGAGAGAGAAACTTTGGACTTTTGGTGTGTTGTAAGATAAGCACAGGACTGCAAGGTTATTTTGAACCACTAAGTCTGTGGTTCAGACTCACCAGTCACTCCTCAGAAACCCTATACTGGGTCACTATGAGTTGCAACTGACTTGACAACACTTTAACAACAACAAGGGTAAAGAGTATTCTACAAAGTCTATTTTCTCCCAAGGGGGCAAGTCATTCAGGTTCTATAATATTTTAGATTTTGTGCCTCCACATCACCAACTGAAAAAAAAAACAACAACAAGAAATTGCTTAACATGAATTTTATAAGTGATTTTACAGCCTCAATTGTAGATATTTCTGAGCTTCTTTTTAAAAAGATCTAATATTTGCTCTGGTAGCGTAGTGGTTATGAATCGGGCTGTGAACCGCAAAGTCAACAGTTCGAAACTACCAACTGCTCCGTGGGAGAAAAATGAGGCTCTCTGCTCCCGAAAAGATTTACAGCCTCAGAAACCCTGTTCAGGGTTGTATTGGTCAGATCCGACTCGACAGAACTTAACAACAACAATATTATCCTTGCTAAAAAGTGTCATGAGGAAACTTAATGTAACTAAATTGAGTCTTAGCGCACATAGGAATACTTAATAAGCTATTTGCTTTTCTCTTTTCCTTTTCCTTCCTATTGCACCCTCGAAAGACACATGAATGAAGGAAGGAAGCAAATAGTAAAAGCAGGACAATATTTTGGGATATGACATTCGTCTTATCTCCCTTTGTAAAGTGTAGGCTGTAACTGTTTAGGTTTCGAATTGATGTTTGATTTAATTATAGGACCACAATTAATGATCCTATGTCCTTAAAAAAAACCTCATACCCACTGCCCTCAATTCGGTTCCAACTCATAGTGGCCTTATATAGGGTTTCCTACACTGTAACTCTTTACAGGAGACAGCCTCATCTTTCTCTCACAGAGTGGCTGGTGGGTATGAACTTCTAACTTTGCAGTTAGTAGTTCAGTGTTTATCTAACAGTACCACCTTTTTAAGTTGTTGTTAAGTGCTGTCTAGTTAGTTCTGAGTCATAGCGACCCTGCACAGGGTTTCTGAGGAGCAGTTGATGGGTTTGAACCGCCAATTCTGTGGCTAGAAGTCCAGTGGTGAGGCTATATAGCTCCACACCAGGTGTTCATTGCTTGTATGTTGTTGTTGTCGCTGTGAAGTGCCGTTGAGTTGGTTCCAACCCATAGAGACCCTGTATAGGGTTTCCCTAGGAGCAGCTGGTGAGCTTGAAATGGCGACCTTGCAGTTCAAATGACTTTGCAGTCTGGTGCATTAACCCACAGCGCCACACCAAGACTCCTTGTATAGATAACTAGAAATGAATAGTAGAGATGTTTGGGGAACAAATACCTTTTTGCATATAATTTCAATAAAAATGCATTCAGACAGATATTATCATCCTCACTTCACAGATGAAAAGATTGGGATTTTGAAAAGTCAAATTGCTTATAAAAAGTTAAGTTGTGATGGAGCCTACATTCAAACACTAGGCAGTGGAATTATTTGACTGTGAAATCCATTGCACCATACAAGCAACACCAACCAAGACAAAGACACACATATATCTAGTCTAAGTTAACAAACCAAACCATGCTCATTACCTTAAGTCAATGCCAACTCACGAACGATTTTCATATAACTAATGAACGCCCTACCTCAGCATTTGAGCTAATGTAACAACATAGTACTTTGAATAACCTATTACTTTATCCAATAAAGATTTCATTAAGATATAAAACACATGTTGTAGGTGTCCAGAAACCAACGTATTGAGAATGGCCAAGAAGAAAACTCACAGGAAAGATCTTTTAAAGATTGTCTTACAAGGCTCTTCAGCTGGATAATGGGAATGAGCCACTGTGAACACCTTCAATTAAGGCAATAAACGTATGTGCGCTAGAGCGCACTGGTGTTGGAGCTGATTTGCACAACTGTGGCAAATTCAGAAAAAGAGATCCTTCTGTGCAGGTTTCTATTACAATCAAAAGAGATTTAGGAACTAGAGCTTTTTATTATTATTGTTTAGCTTTCAAATATTTTTTTCAACTGATTTTTAAAATTTCATTGATGAGAATTTAGAATATCTCAATCAAATTGCTGTTAACAATGGCATTTCTTGTTTGGCTACTGCTTTAATTCTGAACTTTTCCCTGGGGTGCTTTTTTTGTCCCACCCACCCCCATTTTTTTTTTTTTTTTTCAAAAAAGAGGTAAGAGAGTAGCAGATTTTTGTCGAGTGGTAATACATCACCAAATTTTCATGTCTTCAAAAAAATGGCTTTTTTCAAATAACATTTTAAAAATAATTAAAGGGTATACTTTCTATAAATGAGATGTAAATACTAAGATGAGAGGTTTATACAGAAGTCAGAGCTTTAGAAATTGATACCCTACAGATTTAAGAATTTACTGAATTCAAGAATTCCAAACTGCTGTTTAGAAACAAAAGTGTTTTCCCAATGGACACCTGCACTCAAGGACTGGATTCAATTGTTTGCTCCCTGGTTTGCTGTGGACTTGAGTGGACACATTCTAATGAATGTTTCATGTAGCATATTTTAATGTTCATTTCACTGACATGAAACTCTGTCATCTCAGCTGTAAACATCTGTGTGTTTAATTGCTGAAGGTACCAATAACTGTGCTGATGCGCATTCTTCTTGTGACCGATTTAAACTTATGCATGAATTCTTGGTGTGCCTGTTTGTTATTTGAACTACCAACTATTAAGAAAACTTAATGTTACTTATTTAGAATTCAGCCAGATTAAAAAGGGAAGTCCCTTGGCACAGGGATTTAGCGTGTCTCTTGTTGTTAAGTGCTGTTGAGTCGATTCTGACCCACAGCAACCCTGTATAGGGGTTCCAAGGAGCAGATGATGAGTTCTCTTGGGGAGTCTGTATTTCTCAGGAAAGGAAGTTTGAAAACAGAATGCAATTCAGATTTTTTTATATTCTTGAAAAAAGTGTTGATCGTAAATGAACATTAGCATAGCTCCCCTGGTGGTGCAGTTTGTTAAGCATTGGGCTAACTTCAAGGTTGTCAGCTCAAACCCCCAGCTTCCCAAGGGAGAAAAATAAGACTATCTGCTCCTATAAAGATTTGCTGTCCAGGCAGCCCTAATGAGCAGTTCTACTCTGTCCTATAGGATCAGTGTAGAGTCACTATCGGTCAGGATCAGCTTGATGTTGTTGTTAAGTGCTGTTGAGTCAGTTCTGACTCATAGTAACCTTGTATAGGGTTTCCGAGGAGCAGCTGGTGAGCTTGAACCGCCGACCTTGCAGTTCAAACGTGTTTGCAGACTGACGCATTAACCAGGACTCCAGTGAGACAGAGTAAATCTTTATAGAAGCAGATGACTTCATCTTACTCCCCTGGAGCAACTGGTAGGTTTAAACTGCCAGCCTTCCAGTTAGCAGCTGAGTGTTTTAACCAGGAGTCTTAAAAAGAATAAAGCAAAAAAATAAAATAGCGTCACTATAGAAACTACTGTGAAAACCCTAAAAGCAGGTAATGTGATAACAGAACACTTTTGTAATGCTGCTGTCTTTGGTGGGGGCTGTCACTAGTGTTTTGGAATCCTGGTATGACACTGTAGGTTAATGTGCTGGACTGCAAAGTCGGTTTGATCTTCAAGGTTGTCAGTTCAAGCTCACCAGCCTCTCCTCAGAAACCCTGTACAGGGTCGGATGGCACTTAAGAACAGTCACTAATGTTATGTCTCGATATGACTGCATATGTGGTATAACTGTGTTATATAAATTTTTTACTGTAATATTTGAGCACCATAAGATGACTATCACATATTTAAATCCACTTAAAAATCAGCCATTTAACAGGGTTTCTTTGTATACAACACTGTTACTTTTGGGGAGATGAAAAGATTCTGTAAAGAATCATATGGTTGAGATAAACAGACATTGCAGAATCTAGAGTCTGAATTCATGCATCAAAAATGAAGTGTATTTAAGTAGATTTTTGTCAACTAGCAAATGCCATTTCAGTCTGAGTGCTTCACCACCTCATTCTATGCCATCTGTCTCACAGGGAGCAATTAATCTGAAACCCCAATGTGCAGCATTAAAATTCCTCTAACAATGAACAGAATATTAATGTGTCTGGCATTGTCATTATTCGCTCTCCAAATTTCAAAGTTAATTTTGGAAAAAGCAGATAAAATATTTTATTCTGTTTGCTTAATGAAGGACATGGCCTATCATGTATCATTAGTAGCTAAAAATGTAATAACACATGAATTCACTTTAATAACGCTGCATGTTTTTGCAACTCAAACATATAAAAACCATAGCTTTACATTATTAGTCTAGCAGCTGTTTGTAAAAGTACTAAATATTTTATGAAACCAATTTTCTTAAGACTCTGACTTTGCAATTATTCTTTTCTTTTTGCAGAACCACATCACCGCCTTTGCGGAGGTCACATGATATTGAAGCAGATGGTCTTTCACTGCATTGGACATCATCCCTTTTCACAATTCATTCGTAGCACCCAAAGTTTGTTTGATCACAAAAGAAGTTTTTAGAGTCATCTAATAATTTTTATAATTTTACAATCAGTGTCAACCTGTTCCCCCACTAGACTGTGAGCTCCTCAAGGGCAGGACTTTTTTTTTTTTTTTTTTTCTCTGTACTCCCAGTACCTACAATGCCTAGCACAAAGTAGGTGTTCAATAAAAAGTTATTATCCAGATGAGCAAATTTATTATTAAATACAACATTCACTTTAGTTTCTCACAGTATCATTATGATTATGTTAAAAGAGACCTTTGGAGAGTCATCTGTATAAGAAAACCCTCTATTGGAGGCAAGTTAACCTTTTGACTTTTTCATTTATCTGTTCAACAGTATGCCATATTTAATTTGAAGTGGATTTTGAAAGTCATGGGGGGTTTATTTTTATTATTCAGCATGACATTATTTCCATTCTAACAGACTTCAGTGTGTGAAATTACTTTTAGAAAGTATGTTCTATACTAAAATAATATTTGCACATTATATTATGCTATATTTCACTTATAATATCATTCATACTATACATTCTAAGACTGGTGCTTCCGCTTTTGAGGGGGAAAATGCCAATTTTTACTGTAATAAGTAATGTATCAATTAAAAATTATTTATTTGGACTTTTTTCCTGAAAATTGTGGATTGATTGTTGACTTAGAATGCAAGCAGTATTTCAGATAATTTAAAGGACTAAATTCATCAATGGTACACATTATTGAGCAATCTTCTCCTGATAATAGTGTGTCAAGAGTAGGCAAAGGCTCCTTTCTTAGGTTTTTTTTTACTAGTCAGGATTCCATGTAATTTAAATGGGAAATAATTGCACCTTAATACATAATTTACACTATATAAAATGGTTGGCATATCTCATTTTACATTTAGGTATTCTTTATAGCTTCCAATGTATATTCACTATTTCATTAATCCTCAGAATAACCCCATGTAAATGTTAAGAGTAGAGATAAAACTTAATAGAAGAGAAAGATGAAACCAAGACATGGTAAATAATATACTAAATTCTACACACCATTCTACACAATAAGTAAGAGGTAAGGTTGAAACTTAAATTCTGGTTTTCTGGCCCAAAACTACATATTGAAGGAACTATATTCCATCAAATATGCTACAACTGCCAGATCATTTGGACAAATCAAGACCTTTCAGAGGTCAGTAAAGTCCTTTGAAACTACCTATATTTTAAAATATTAAGAATACCAAAAAGCTATGCAGTATTTCAATATTGAACACGTTCAAAATATGGAAATAATAATGACCTATTTATAACTAAGGAATCCTGGTGTGACATTGTAGGTTAATGCGTCAGACTGCAAAGTTGTTTGAACTGCAAGGTCAGTGGTTCAAGCTCATCACCTGCTCCTTGGAAACCCTATACAGGGTCACTGTAGTAGGAATCAACTCGACGGCACTTAACAACAAGAACAACAACATTTATAGTTATATTTAATAATAATATCAAGAACCTAAATGTCTTTGTCAATGCAAAGTCTGCTTCAAATGGTTCTTTTGCCACCCCTACTCCAACCTCCAAATCCAATCCCTTAGGAAAGGCTCCTAAGAGCATACCATATGTTGAGGATGTGGAGTTAAAGCTGTAAATCATGATATATAAGGAAGAGCAACAGGACCATGAGGAAGCCATAATAGTTACTCCTTAGCAATACTGCAATTTCTGAAACTACTTTGAGCTTACAAGCACTGAAATGACTCTTTCTAACCTGGAGAGTATTAGAGATTATAAACTTTAATTTTTTTATTCTTTAATTTAAACAGAAAATATTAAAACCAAAGACCTGTCAATTACTCCCAATGTCACTTGCCCGTTTCCAGCATTGTGAGAAGGCAAATAATTATACTAGCCCCAAAAAGGAAACAGAAAAGAAAAAAAAAAAAATCCATGTTCCTATTCATTTCAGACCTTCTATTAAAGTTTAGAATTTGCAAAGTTTGGACTATCTTGACCCTCTTTAAAAACATTTAAGATAATTACAGCAGTGGGGAATGACTTACTGAGAATAAAAGTGAACAGGATGATCACATGGTCCTAGGAGACAGGACTACCATTAAGACTTTCATAGTTAGATCATTTCCATCCTTTGTAGCTTCTTTTTTCCAAGGAAATGTGGAAATAGCAGGACTATAGAGCCAATTCCCACTCATAGTGACACTATACACAGAACTGTCCCCTAGGTTCTCCAAGGCTGTAGTCATTATAGAAGCTAAGTATCACATCTTTCTCCCATGGAGCAGCTGGTGGATTTGAACCACCAACCCACCAGCAGCTAACCACTAACAACTGCACAACCATGGCTTCTTCTCCTGTTGGAAGCCCTACTTAAATACTGCTATATTAACATTGTATCTTTGCACTTTGCTAATCTGGAACTGAATGAATTACAATTCCTTTTTTTAAAATAAAAAAAACTTGTTTAACACAGGGTCACAGTAAGGTAATTTCTAATATGTAAATGTCATTTATTAGTCCAAAATTATACAATGAATGATCCTGACATGAGGGAAATTCAGAAGATAATATATATGTATACATACATATATAATCAAATATATATATATAATTGTGCAAGGCAAAAAGGCAGCAAAGAGCCCTTAACCGTGATGATGTCACTGAGAATAATGAAAAACACATTTAAGGAAATATTAATATGTAAATATGTATATATGTAGTCTAGTAAAAGCAAACAAACATATCTTTCTGATGAAGACATCTCCTTTTTATTCTAGTTATATGGGGCCCAGGTCAGTATAAATCGGTCAACCTGAAAATTTCGGTAGTCTCTGTTTGCATGGCAGAAATTCTGCTCATGTTTTATCTGAGTCCTATGATTATTTAAAAGGGTCTTTTATGTTAAAAGAGAGGTGAACCTTCTTTGACAGACTTTGTCGATTCCACTTCTAACTGGGCCTCTCTTTTCTCAGGATCTACCCTAGCCAAATATCTCAGTTACATTTATCATACCATTTCCTTTGTGAAAGAGCAGTATGGGAGAAAATTATTCTCTGCTGTGTATTGTATTTTTCAAATAAAACTTTAAAAATTAAATTAAAAACAAAAAAGCAATGTTTGATTTCTTTCCCATGTATTAGTCCTTTCTGCGGGGTGGAAGAATAAAGAATGTTTGTTAATGAACATGCAAATCAGAATTGCCTGAGGTGCTAGAGAGTGTTGGAAACGGATCACAATCCTCAGATTAGATCAGTTTTGCAAGCCCCTAAATGATTTTCTGCATCTCATGGTCTATCCTGAGATCTTACTCAGCTTGTTTGTATGTGACAAACCACTGTAAACTAGTCAGGACACTAGATAAATTTACGATGTACTGCACAATCCATCCTGTGTTCCTGGAGACTTTCTGTGTATGACCAAGGTGGCTGAGGAATGGGTGCAAACAATTACGCTCTTGCCTCTAGAGCACCAGTTAATACATTTTCATTGCATGCTGTAAAAGAAAGTTGCCCCGAAACATATCAAATAACTTTATTTACACTCCCGAGCATTGATCTTTTCATAATTTGCAAGGTATGATCATTCCGATAAATTTTGTAAATTATAATTTTTTTCAAAAATAACTATCGTGAGAGAATTTCTCCCAAGAATGAAAATAAGTTTATCAAAATATTTTTTTCTATGATCTCTATTTTTGATATTAAGTGGCTAATGTGGTAGAACTTCAGGACATAGCTAAGGTTTAATAAAAAGAACTGTACCTTCCTCCCTTTACATTTTATGAGCTATGTTGTTGGTAAGTGCTGTTGAGTTTTCAAGACTTTTTAATATCTTTGAGGTAGCCAGAAAGCCTCATCGTTCTCCCACAGAGAAGCTGGTTGGCTTGAACTAACGACTTCTTGGTTTGAAAGGTGGCTCTGTAGGATAAACAAGGAACTGTTTATCCTACAGAGCCACCTTTCAAATGGGTGGCCTTGTTCACAAGGCGTTCCAGAAAAGAAAATATAGATAAAAAGACATAAAATCACCAGCATCATCAAATGAAAACAAAGTTCACAGCTCATCAATGGCGTCCTTAAGAAGGGCAGTATAATAGTCTCCATTCTCTGGTCTGTTCACCTTACTGCCCTTCTTAAGGATAAACAGGGGACTGTGAACCAAGATGGTTGGCGGTTCAAGCTCACCAGCCTCTCCTCGGAAACTCTATACAGGGTCGCAATGGCACTTAACAACAACATTGCTATAATCTGTGTGTAAATGGCCCTTGCTGAATTTTGAGAGTAGGTGGCGGTTTTATCACTGTAACTTTATGTGGGTTTCTTGGGAGGGGCATCAGTGCTCAGACTGCTGAATTATAGGATCTGGGAGCTCAGAGACCCTGTCTGTCTTTGTAACTATTGTTTAGTTAGCACATTGCAAAGTAACTTGTGAAGAACCACTTGATAAAAATGTGTTGAGTGAATGGAATGAAGGCTGGAAGGAAACTTTGAGCCTAAGCAATACTACTAGTTGTTGTTATGTGCCGTGGACTGGGTTCCGACTCATAGCGACCCTGTGCAGGGTTTCCGAGGCTATAAATCTTTACGGGAGTAGAAAGCCTCTTGTTGTTGTTGTTGTGTGCCGTGGAGTCGGTTCCGACTCACAGCGACCCTGCACAGGGTTTCCGAGGCTGTAAATCTTTATGGGACCAGAACGCCTCCTCTTTCTCCCGCGGAACCGCTGGTAGTTTCGAACTGCTGACCTTGCGGTTCACAGCCCGATTCGTAACCACTATGTAGCGTAGTGGTTACGAATCGGGCTGTGAACCGCAAGGTCAGCAGTTCGAAACTACCAGCCACTCCGCGGGAGAAAGATGAGGCTTTCTACTCCCGTAAAGATTTACACCCTCGGAAACCCTGTACAGGGTCGCTATGGGTCAGAACTGACTCGACAGCACTTAACAACAACAACATGTTACCAGAGCTCCTTAGGGCCCCCGATTAATACTCAAAGGATCTCACTGTTTTGAGTAAGTCTTTTTTTAAAAAAATGAATTTACTTTTAATCTTAGAGCAACTTTTTCTCTTTCTGTTGGAGAGAAAAAATGCACTCCCCCATCCTCTTTTTTTTTTTTTAACAAGTGAGTGTTTCAATGAAAATGAAAACAAACACATTTATCAATGATAAATGGTGAGGAACCAGTGACAATGGAGAAATTAAAAGCACAAAACAAGAACAGCAGTTGATTGTTGTTGCTGTGTTGTTGTGAAGTGCCGTCGAGTCGGTTCCGAACCCATAACGACCCTGTATAGGATTTCTGAGGAGCAGCTAGTGAGCTCGAACCACAGACCTTGCATTTGCAGTCTGGCGCCTTAACCCACAGCGCCACACCAGGACTCCGATTATAGCAATAACTAAAGTTAATTTTTACTTAAAAGTTAATTTTTGCTTTAAATTGCTCCTTAAATAACATTGTGTTATTTTGCTATGCTTTGCTGCTGTTCTTAAGTGCTGTTGAGTTGGTTCCAACTCATATAGGGTTTCCAAAGAGCAACTGGTGAATTTGAATAGCCGACCATGTGGTTCAAACCCATCTTGCTGTCTACTGCTTATCCTACAACGCTACACCAGGACTCCAGTAAATACAGTTAACT